AATTTCTTTTGTAATACTACAATACTGCAGGAAATGTATGCTTACAGCACTCGCATGAAGACCATTAAATACATTGCAAATAGAAGTCCAGTGAAAACAAACCGTTGGCAACTGCAGCAGTACTCGTATTAACACAAGACAAGGGGTACCAACTATACATATTTTAACGAAATTTTATAAACATACACACACACAAGTGTTTACTAAAAACCTCCCTGTTCCTTCTACTGCTCTGGGTCGGAGCCACGGTACATTATTGCACTTGCACTATGTACCTATGTATATTGGTTTAAGAAATTGTTTATACCTAATAGTCTGGGTATCGCATATTTCACCCACGCCCAAATGACGGGTCGTCAGCAATTTATTCAAAATCAAGGATTTGTGCCAGTTTGCCTTACAGCGCGGCACAGCCTCTGTTTACGGACACTTTAAAATTAATCCATTCACGGTTTTAATCAGTCGTTTCATACAAATAAATGAAAGCACGCCAGCCAATCTATGTATGTAAATCTTAAAATCGAATTTGAAAAGCTTGATTTATAACTATTTAAATTACTGTCAAGAATGGCATATAATTTTATGATGATCATGTATTGTAACTTTATTATTCCAGGACTTATGTATTACAAAAGGAAACAAATGGAACCCATAAATACTATATTCAACAGAACCTTACTGATGTTCACCTTATTAAGTGCCTCGTTAATTACTTTCCCATAAAAATAACTTTCTTTAATGAATACGCCCGTAAATAACGATATTAATTTTTATTAGACGTTTTTAAGTCGAATAGCGGTAAAGTATCGGTTTCATTTCATCATCCGATAGATTGGAATCTTACACTTTACATAGACATTAATTTGTCCTTAACGTTTATAGAGGAAATATTAAACAGGCAAGATTCTTAAAGCCACTTTGCCTGGCCGTCCTCCGATGGCTAATCAAACACTCTTATGCAAATCAAGCAAATAGTTATACAATTTTATGAGCGACGACTATCGTCAATTTATCACTCCCTATATGGGGGAACAAACATGCAGAAATTCCATCCGACCATTCCAAGCCCCGCTATGTCGACACACCATATTTTGCAAGTTTATCATTGCTTATGCTAACTTCATGAAGTTATGGGATAGGCCCACTACACAAATACATGATATACCATATACAGACTTCTGAATGGCAGAACTTAATATAAAGGTGTAACATTGCAGAGATATGGGAGTTAAAATAGATGTGCATAACAATGAAAAAGTCGTTACAAGTAAGTAAACAACTGCTTTATGACGGCATACAGATAAGAGAGGAATGCTGATTTTGATTAGAAATGAGAGCAGTACAGCTTTTATCGCGAACTCACATAGATAACTTTTAAACATTCGTGATTTTAAACACATTTTCATTATTGCCTTAGTCAAACAGATTTTTTGTTGATACATTAGACTATACCATGTTTGAACCCAACGTTCGCTTTCAATTATAGTACTTCATAAAGCTTTGAGATGCCAAGTTGAGATTAATCTCGTGAACTCAGGATGGTAGTTAAATGTTAGATACCGGTTGATGTACTAAAATTTTAATCTTCTATTCGCATTAAGTTGTTGAAATCAAAATAAATCTGTAGTGTAGCCGTCGGCAGCGACGGAGTCGACGCGCGTCTGGGTATATAAAATCGCCAAGGACATATTTATCTGAGAGGAATGCGTAGAATAAACAATGTTGTACGCTATTTCGCGTCCGTTCGCCGCCACGCGCCGCACCCTGCGGTTCACACACTAACAAACATTTTGTAAATCTTCTTTGCAAAAGATAGTAGGTACATCAGAAGTTCCAATGAGTACCTAATCAACTTTAAACTCGAATAGGCTATGAGAACAAATAAACTTATTTAAAACGCCCTCCATTAAAGTCAAGAAACGTTGTAAAATGCCCAGCCCCTTCAACGTTACGCATGAGGGAACTCAGAACTTGTGCAGTGCGTGGGAAGCACATACTTGGGTTACACAATCTTGTGAAGATACCTTCGTTAAACACGATTGATTTTATATTCAAAATCTTTCTGAACGCTGATTAGATTTTCATATAATTATAGGGTATCGCTGTTCAACGCAATTAAAGGTAAATATAATAAAGCCATGCATCGTTTGCTTAGCTCATTTCAATGATTTGTAATTCGTTTAAGATTCTTCGTCTTCGCAGACAACCTTTCTTTGCTTAAATGAATTTGTATATGAATGCCACCTCTCAGAAATCATAAATTTAGCCGATTGCAATATTGTTTGTATTTGAAAACATTGTCGTCTACAAAGTTAAATGAATAAGGAATAATCATATTATTTAATTAGCCATCACGCCACATGCTACTCGGCCACAGACATGGAGATCGCATTGAAACATTCCAATGCGAGCATCCTTGTATTTCCCACATACAATTTGCTAGCATTAATGTAGGTACACATAGACGACTAACGCAGATTTCACTCACAACATAGAATTATGTATTAACGATCAACTGAACGCAACACTCTGGTATGCAATAGAACAATGTACCTGCTTAGTGAAACTGCATTCAACCGATACAATTAAAGTAATAAACACTGGCAAACACAGGTATAAGTTCCCATTCGCTTGTTAATCGACTCGATCATTGTCTTTGCCGCTTCCTTGCTTAAAGACACAATGTGTAGTTTTTCCACAATTCACAATGCGTAGCTGTCGAACACTTCTATGTAGTTTACTTTTTATCTCCATCTATTTATGCCCCTCATCTAGTATCACACTTGACTTCGAGATCTGCGCGAAAACCGCAAAATGCTCATTCGCACGCAACATCTCGTTACAGAAGCATTTGAGAAGCCATTTAGGTATATAAAATGTATAGGTTAAGCGCCCAATGACACTATAAACTTCTATTTCTTGTTAAATTTGCCCTTCACATCGAATTTCATAAAAACAAAGATCTCTTAAGTTTAAAAAATGAGACATCTGCTCTAATAAAACTAGGTCTACTAAACTGACAACATTTTTATGATGTAGGTAGGCAAATAATTGCATTCTCCCAAAGGTACAAGTTGACGTGAGGACATTTTTCATAGTACGTTTTGGTTCCGTATAAGGTTAATAGCGTCGTATGCGTCCGAGACATGGCCGGGTTATTTTTAGCATTAATAAATTGGCTTAGTGGCTCCGTTTATTGTGTGCGCGTTTCGCACAAGTACATGTCGACGTTAGAGTGACATCCGCGGTACCTCCACTCCACATACAAATTCTAGGTCAATTTTGGACTAGTACTGCTATTTTACTATGCACTAAGTTTTTCAAAACAAATATTTTCAGCAATTAATTCTGAGATAGTAGCTGCTTTTTAACCTCCAAAGATTGCATTCCAAGTTTCGCAGCATCTATTTGTTAGAGTTTTAACATAATACATACATCTTCAATTTTTTTCGTTATTCTGTTATAAAATACAACTTTTTATGTAGACTTCGAAAATCCATATCTTCATGTCCTGGAATTTTACCAGGCTGATAACCAATGTCTCAAATATCATACTGTAAAGTCGAATGTACGGAATGCAGTTTGGCAAAAGGTTCAATAAAAATACCACTTTATGTTTCCTGTGTCAGCAGTGAATTTTATTGTGGTGTCAATGTACCGGAGCCAGATCCTCATGTGCTTTCTTAACTTGAATCAATTTAATCCACATTCGCATTTATGCAATATTTGTTCAATACTTAATTCGGTTATAAAACCGAATATTATCGAGATCCCCTCAATCGACTATAAGACTGTAAGGGCATACAATATGACAATTTACTGTATAACTTCGTCCCAGTGGTTTAATCTTTAATTTCTAAGTTAACATTGAATGTTCGCTTATATGTTTGCAACATAACTTATTGTCATTAAAACTGCAATCATTGAATACAATCAATCCGCAAAATATTAGATTGTATTCTGGTATTTTGCCACACACGCGATTCTTTAAATATTCTTAGGAACATTACCATGCAACAAAATGTTTTTCTCCTGACTTTTAATGGACCAGAAACTAGACATCCCTCCTGCTAATTGTTACATCGTTTAGCATCACCAAGTGATAATTGACTGGTCTTAACTGTAACCATGCATTTTCAAGTGCAGGTGTAGTTTTTAAGGTTAACTTTAAAACAATAGTGCAGGTGTCAGTTTAACTATGGTAAATAGATACGGCTAGAGACATGATCGGTATTTAATAGGGATGTGTTGTGCAGCACCTGCAGCTTGCTGAGGTGGTGAAGGGGGGTGTGGGGAGACGGCGGGGTGGAGGGGGAGGGGGAGTGCGCCGCTTTAGAAAGGCGCGACCATCGCCGCAGGCCCGGGCCGCATTCTACGGCCTGTCATTCACACCGCGCAACTTGCCTATGCATTGCATTCCATCTCCCACCGCGTTCTCCACGCATCGACACCATACACACACGCGCACCTTACGAAACCACCGACTGCACCACCATCTAGCAAGATGCCATATTCATTCTTAACACATAAACGCTTCATCGAATTATTTCTGCGCCAGTTCAGCCACTAACATTGCTATGAACCAGTTCCGTGGCCTCATTAAACGCGTACTGACTGCTCCGTTCACCAAAAACGACCCATACGAAAACAAGACCACAATACACATTCCAAAGGATAACAAATGATAACCATAATTTTTGTTTAGCTCATTTGTTGTCACTAAATAGTGGAATGTCGTGTGAAATCGAGGTTGTCGCGCATTCTTACCACTAGAGCGCAGCAGCGTCGCGGCGACGGAACAGTTTGTTTTTCACGATTTATTCTACTTGAAAGTTGCGTTTAACACTTTTAACTTTAACACAACTAATTACTTCACGTGCACTCCCGGTATAAACGTCCACAACACTCAAATTCAATCAGAAAACGTTAGAAATCGCATTGGAATGTAAAGTTTTGACATGGGGCTCTTACGGGTTAACACTTCTCTTTGGAAAACCTACCTGTCTCGCGGGTCGATCCACGTCGTTTTTCTACTGTTGTGGTCGATGAAATATAGTTTTCCGTCAAAGTCCCTCGCGTAATCCCATCCGTCGGGCAAGGGTATCTCACCGTTTCGTCTCCTTGGCATATTTCACTGATTAAATCCATTCAAACGAGTAACGAAGCACACTCGCGAACTAGCTACACGGCCATGTTGAATACCTCATTACGAGGTGTGACGTCACGCGGGATCGGCCAATAGCGGCGAAGGGCCCCCACGATGGAATGCGGCGCGTACGCGAGCGCGAACACACGAAGCGGTTCCGTACGTCACTCGAGCGATAGCAACGATACACGCGACCGCACCACGCGACCCCGCGTCGCCGACTAAACCCCGCCGACTCGCAGCCACGTTATCACCGCACATGATAATATTCACTACCAGCACCTACTGTCTAAATGCATTCCTCGGCCATCTAATGTTTACATTACATGGTCTACTAGTGCCGACTGACTGATGCTATGTACGGTGCGGAGACTGTAAAACGAACTGGCAATGTAAGCAAAAAGTAGGTAGGTACATACCCATTCAATCTATTTACGATTCCGCTGTATAAATATGTATAGACGGGTGTGTATACGTATAGATCGCATTCCACAGCGTATGTACATATAAACGAGCATACATACAAATTACTGATACAACGTATACCTATATAAGTACGTTTATCTGTTGCTATATTAATACTGTTGATATTATATACTTACAAGTTAATGTGTTGTGTTATGTTTATCTTGTAGTTTTATGTGACCTACTATTTTTTAACTGGTAGGCGTAAGAACTTAGAAACAAGGTTACAACTAGCATTCCTTCGACGGAAGCGATAATTTAGCGACAAAAGTAGGTAAACAACGAGTTTTGCAATTTTTGTGTTAGTTTTTTTAAACTTACTTAGAATCTTTTTGATATGACTACGTTAGGTATATATTTTTTCTAAATATCACAATAATTTTTTGTCTGTTTAATATGCTATATATTAAGAAAAATATTATTTAATAAATTAATATCATGAATTCAAAATGATGATCACTATGATCACTCAGTACCACGCTTTTTACTTGTTTGCTTGCTCCAAGCTATGTGGGTAAGACTAAGTAAGACCCTAGTTACAATAGTATAGCCTAGTTAAGGATGTACAGTCTAACTACAATAGTAGAGCCGGCGGTAGAGTCAAGAACAAGTTGGTAGAATCACGCTACGGTAGTACAGCCTAGCTATGGTCCTAGGTACAGTGGTAGATTGTCTACGACCAACGATAGAACGTAGACCTTAGAAACATCGGCATAGCCTAGCTATGTTGGTAAGTCTTATACTAAGCTTCATCATCTTCTTCACCCATTCTTCTAAATATGTCGATTAACTGTCTCAGAGAAATCCTTAAAAAGTGGGTGGTGGGATCACAAAGAACTACCTACTGATGGGTCAGGAAAGTGTTCAAGTGGAGAATATGGCCAAGATATTGTACCGTGAGTAGGCCACTTGGTAGACTGGTGAGATCGTCATTATGCGAAATCATTAGATGCAAATGGCGAGATGTCGTTCGGCGGTAAGGACTTCAAGGGCCGACTTTTTTCGACACTTACCGTCATCCATCTGATAATAATGACGATCTCTTGACCTGAAAAAATATACTTAAATAGGTACTTATGTATTTACCCGTCTAGGAGAGCCAAGCTACAGCACAAATGGGTCGGCTCGACCGGAGTGATACCACGGCCTCACAGAAAACCGACGTGAAACTACCACAGCGTTGTGTTTCGCCTGTGAGTGAGGTTACCGGAGGCTTAATCCCTCCCCCTTGCCCATCCCTTCCCAATTCCTAAAAGACCGGCAAAGCACTTGTAACTTCTCCGTTGTTGCGGGTGTCCATGGACGGTGCTGATCGCTTACCATCAGGTAATCCGTCTGCTCTTTTGTCATCCAATCATATATAAAAAGATTTATTATTGCTACGACTGTCGTCATTAGTTGGGTACCTACTCAATTATTTTTTTCTGGAGAATGTCTTCAAAATATTGTGTCGTGAGGAAGTGTTAGGCTCTTTACTCTGACTAAACCACCACCTCGCCATTTCTCTGGGCCAGGCTGACTATTGCGCACGCATGGAATTGGCCCTAATGGAACCCATCTGTAGTGGTCTAATGACTGCTCTTTGAGGAGCGCGTAAATCGCGAGGCACAGAGCGCCCGGCACTGGTTCTGGACGGCGAGCTTACCCTTGCTTGCCGCCCGCGATGGCTGCCCATTTCCTCTCGTTCTGCACCGTGGCTTTGGCTTAGACCAGGCGCGAAGAGTTGCCGCCGGAACGCTTTCCTGAGGACAAGACGGTGCACATCCCAAGCAGGGCCCACCGTCACAGTATGCACCGCGCCGTTTCCTCTGAGTGGTCCTCGAGTGACAAGTATTGAATCTGAAACAGGTACTTGCCTCCCCAAACTTCAGTGACCTCCGTCAGGTAGAAGACGAGGACACCGCAGGGTCTCTAACCACTCCTCATCGAGAAGTGACATTTGACTTTCTTAAAGTAACAAAAATGTAATATTAAGTAATTACCTTCTGCATCCTTATACCTAGGTACCTTAGTACCTACATGTGTTCCACCAGTTTCACCCTGCCTAACATTAAAGATATACCAAAATATTCTACTATGTCGCTATTCGCTATGATTTTCGTACCTACAAAATTAAATACAAACTTACCAACTGACTTCGAAACACTGCTTTAATGCGCTTTATGTATCAGATTTATTTGTGTCACATTGTCTGAAAAGATAAAACATGATAGTACAAAATAAAACAAATGAACATCGGAGTGACGGTTTTGTTTTTTACAAATATCACCAATTTCTTCGTACTAAGTAGGTGAAAAGCCAATTTACAAGCAAGATAATATTTGAAAGATATCAAGAAACAAAAAAAAAAATCACTAAAGAAATGGTCAACTAAAAACTAATAATAAACTTTTCTCTCAATATTTTGTAAAATAATACAACAGTTTGAAATGTTGAATGAAATTTTGTTTTAGCACGATGTTTTTTCATTTAACGCATGAACAGATAGTAAGGATAATAAACCCATTCAGCCTATTGATCCTTTATATTGGTAAAATAAATTATATTTCAAATACGAACATTTTAATTAACAATTATTTAATACTTTATTCATTTTCAAACGCATACCATGAACGAAAATTACGTAAGAATTATTTATAATACAAACTCAACAGTCATAATTAATTAAGGACTAATCGTCTTTACTGCTTTAACTTATTTTCTTGAACAAGGACAGAGTATATGCTAGTAAATCGATTATCATCGACCGGAACGCGTCATCAGGTTTCTGCAGGCCTCTGACAGCTTTAGTTCCACGTGCTCCGTTTGGCGCTGCTGTCACATTGATCTTAGTCACGTGGTCATCGCCGCCATATTTTTACGCAATGTGACGTTTTGTTTGTCAAATGTCAACTTGTCATTGTCGAAATACTCCCGAGTTGAATGCCTGCTATTAAGTGAATTTCCTCGCATTTTGCTGAGTCGAGATCCTTGATACGCAATTATTCCTCTGTTGTACGAGACAATATTGATTGTGCATATCGTTGTGCAGTTATTCGTCATGGGAACCAAGAAGTGCTGTGTTGGTGGTTGCAATGCAACAAGTGAGACTCACCGGCTTTTTAGTTTCCCAAAGAACGATGAACTTAGAAATCTGTGGATGTCCTTCCTAGTTCCTACAAATTCCCTCCTCATTGGACTCTCCAAGGAGCAATTATTAAGAAAACGCGTTTGCGAAAAACATTTCGACAAATATCAGTTCGATCATGACGGTAAAAGACTGAGGTACTCCTACCCATGCCTGCTAAGTCATAAAGAAATTGCTCATGGAGTTCCACTTAGTGTAACAGGTAAGTCTTGCTAATTAATTAAACTTTAAACAAGTTACATAAAAAATATTGCCAAGCTTCCCTTGAAGCCTCGCAACTCAAACCCAACAGAGATAAACTATTTATCATTAAACAATTAGTAATAACAATAAAGACAAACAATTAGTGAATTTTATGGTATTTAGCTTTCCTTATGTAGTACACTGAAAAAATGTTTGTGTGGAGTTGACTACTCAATGTTAACTTTAATGTTAACATAAAGTATGTTACTACTATTCAAAGTGCTGTGTAATTGATTACATATTTAACAGTTTGTATATCTATTTTCCAGGCTGGAATGTTACACTTGAACATAATTATTCCAAAGAGCAAGACGAGGATGGTGCAGGTCCATCTACATTGGTAACAATAACTGGTATGTATGAGTTGAAACTTAATAGATTACTTATAACAAAATATCATTTGATTTGAAAATGATAAAAGCTGGTCAAATCAACAAACAAGGTCACTAATATTAGCACTGTACCAAAAAAATTGAAGCTTATGTGTAGGTCCTTACCCCGCCAATTGACTCTCTCTTCTACATTTTATGTTTTTGCTGTACCTTGTACACATTGTGGAATGCAAATAAAATTTGAATTCAATATATTTTTTTCAGGAAGGAACAACACAAATGAACATGATTATTTCAAAGAGCAAGATGAGAACAATGTCACAAAATCAACAGTAGTGACTGGAAGTGCAGCAGGTGTGTATGTCTTCATTGAAATAATATACAAATTGTCTGTCACTTAAGTCTCAAACACTCTCCATCATTAAGACATCTCATTAGACTCTTTAGAGTTTGTTCACTCTGAGAACCATCGCGGCCAAAAAGTGAACTACAATGTTATTGTATTGCACGCTATTGTGTTGCGGTACAAAAAAGGTAATTAAGCACATCAGTGCCACCCTATCCCACAACGGTTCTCAAAGTGAACAGACTCTACTCACTTAAACTAATTCATAAGAAATTTTCACAAAATAAAATATAATAAGTTGACATACAGATAAAGTCTTTGATGTAAACATCTATAAACATACCAACAGCTATACTAATCACATGCTGCTAATATTATTGCATATATCGTTGAGTGTCCAAACATAATATTTGTTCATTGTAGAAGATCTAGTAAATGTTTTTGTCTGGAGTAAGACCAGACCAGGATACAATTTCAAGGATGAACAGGCATAACTGTCCTTGACAAATCTGTAGTAAATAGCAAACTGTGTCATTCAGAAAAAATAAATAAAAAATGCATTTTATTTACAGATATTGGAAAATTTCCTGAACATCCTTCGTGTTCTAGCTTTCCAACTGATACATCGAACATAGATCTCAAAGGTAAGTAGGTCACAAAAACTAGAAAAGGAATTAAAAATAGTTTATTAAATGACTTCCATTCAATCTTGTTGTTTTTAATTTTAGATCTGATGTTAGAACAGCCATTGTGTTCTGGTATAAGTCATGCTATCAATACTGAAGTGGTACTTCGTAAAGCTAAAACACCAAAGCGAACAAGTAAGTACAATCTTGAAAAAAAAAGCCTGGTTTGTTTGCATATAAGTCTGATCAACAAGGATTTTTTTGTGGATCACACTAATTTATTTTTCCGAAAAAAACCTCCGACACTGAAATTTGGCATAATTATGATAAGAGTAGGAGATACAGATTATAGATACATAACCCTTTTTTTTACCAGTGGTTTTGTTTTACCAAAACATTAGAATTGCTTATTTATATTATTGGATTATTGTCCATCTGTATCACTTTCTATCATCATTATGAATTATGCTAAAAGTAATTTTCGGAACACTATGTCGCATTCAATATTTTTTATATACGTAAATCTGACAAGAAGTACAAAAATATTATTTTTTGCAGGTACTGCAGTTCGTAAAATACAGTGTAACAGGAAATTTATGAAAAATGTTACTCAGATAGCAACAGAAAATTCAAGCCAGTCAGCAGCACAGAGACTTACAAAAGCTCTTCACATTGACAAAGAACAACTGTTCCATAAATTTAATTTATTAAATAGACAAGCTCGAACATTTCTGTTTATGCAGCTTCGACAAGTCCAAAAGAGCAAAATGGCTAGACGATTCAGCTTAGAAGAAAAGCTGTTGGCATTGCTCTTGATGAAGCAAAGTCCTAAAGGCTATAGATTGTTAGAAAAGATGTTTGCTCTACCGAACAAGAGAACATTGATACGCTTATCTGAAAAGGTGTCAATGGAACCAGGACTGAATCCTCAAATTTTTGAACATATATCACGCACCTGTCAAAATTGGGATAACCAACAAAAACTATGCACAGTTGTTTTTGATGAAGTGGCTATAACACCACATCTTACTTTTAGTGAGAAGAAAGATAAAATTGTTGGGTTTGTAGATTTAGCTGGGGAAAGGAAATTAAAGTATTCTGACCATGCATTGGTCTTCATGGTTAGAGGAATATGCTCTCCCTGGCGACAGACTATAGCATATTACTTCTGTGAAGGAACTGTCTCAGCAGCTGAGCTACAAAACATTTTAAAACAAATAGTGTCCCAAATTGGATTAACTGGCTTAATACCATTAGGACTAGTTTGTGATCAAGGATCAACATTCCGAACAGCTCTTAAAATATTGAGGGCAGACACAGTCAAATCAAGAAACATTCAATGTATTCATGATGGTAAATACAAATGATTAAGAATATGTGAAATTTCAGTCTAATTTTATTTTGTTACAATATTCAATAAAGTGTTTTATTTTTTGTAGATGGATCAATAAACATTAGCGGGTATGATATGAGTGTCTTCCATGACCCTCCGCACCTATTGAAAGGCTTAAGGAACAATTTTATGACCAAGGATATCCTTTGGGAAGGAAAGACTGCATCATGGAAGGATATTGAATTTGTTTTCGATATTGACAGCAAGTTGGGGCACACTAAAGCATTGCCGAAATTAACAGCCCATCATGTGGATCCAAGCAAAATGAAAAAAATGAAAGTCAGCGTAGCTGCTCAAGTACTAAGTGCAAGAATGGCGGCTATGCTGAAGTATACCAATGCAGTCAGTGAGTACAAAACTTACATAGTCCTTGCCCGCGACGCCGGGGCATTGTGTTCCACGCGCGCCTCAAAAAGTGTTAGCAAGATGATGGGGCCCCTAGTGGGCCAAAGCCTACCGGGGTCGCGAGACATATCTCACTACCGTGATCCCGGAACTTAAAGGGCTATTGAAGGATACCGCCGATTTTAGTCAGTAAAAGTCTGACAGTCCCTCGCGTCCTACCCGGGTTGGGAGTCTTTCATTTGATGATTTTACCACACTAAAAAAAGTTCCCATCCATAGTCCTGCTACGTGTCGCGGGATCAATTCCCGCATAGAGCAAATATTTGTATGATCTACGAGTTGCTGGGCTTATGTTTATGTGACTTTAGAATAAAATGTTTATAAAGGCATAATTCTGGATTTATGTGTGGTTGGGGCAACATCTGCACAAATAATGACAAACATTGAATAGTATGGTGTTGTACGTGTTATTTTAACTAAGGTGAACATTTTCTTTTTTATTTTCAGATAGCTTACATAGTGGAGAAAGTAACAGTACAATGGCCACAACAGCAGAAGTTGTAGAATTCATTGACAAATTATTTGACAGTGTCAATGGTAATCCTGGTGGATCCAAAGCCGGAAAACTTAGAAGGGCCGTGAAGGAAGATTCACCACATCACACATTTTGGGTTGATGCAATTAAAAAGCTGAAATCATTATATTATATTGATACATCGAGCAAGCATGCTTTACAGTTAGGAAAGCCTCGACTTGTGAAAGTACCATCTCTGCAGGGTTGGATCACTACCCTGGAAAGTTTTTTAAAGATATCCAAATTATTATTTAATAAGTATGGTGTCATGTATTTTTATCCAAGACGTATAAACCAAGATCCACTAGAAAATTTCTTTGGACGTTTAAGGGCTCTCAATTCGAGAAATGTGAATCCTGACGCAAATGCTTTTATATATGCATTCAAATCACTATTGATAACAAATTTGCTGAGCCCGCATTCTAAATATGCCAACTGTGAAGAAGATGAAGGAAATAGTATTGTAAACATAAAATGTTTATTTGAAAATGAGAATAAAGAAAATATGGAAGACAACAAAGAAATCCCATCTTCTTCACAGGAAGAAAAGCATGTGTTCTCTGTACAGGAATGTCCAAACGAAAACATTTTAGTGGATCAGGTAATTTTAGAAAAAGTGAGAGTTCACTGCTCAGCATACACAGCTGGGTATGTCTGTAGAAAAATGTCTAAATTTGTAAAATGCGATGCTTGTTTGCAGACATACACCACAAAGAATGAAGAAAGCATACATACGTATATTAAATTTAGAGAATTTAAATCTTTAAAAAATAATAACTTGGTATATCCTAGCGAAAAACTTTTAATATTGTATAGAGATGTAACAACATTCATACATAGTTTTTTAAATGTTAATTGTTTTAAAAATAAGATCAAAAGCAATTTGAAAAAAATAATTTTTAGCACAATGAGGTTTTCCTGGCTAGGGTGTGCAGAGCATCAAAAAGATTTAATTAACACTTTTGTAAATTTTTTAATAAGGTTGCAAGTACACAATTGGTGCAATATAATTAATAAAATTTTGAAGGGTGCAGTGGAAGAAAAATATGTAAGCAAGATGGGTGAACCTCAAAAACGAGCACTAAATAAATATAAAAGCTTTAGATTAAGGAAAAAATGTTTGAATAAATAAATAAAGATATTAATATGTTGTGTTTCAATCATTAAATAAAATTTCAATAATAAAAATAAAATTACCAAAACAACCAAGGTCGCACAGATATCGACAAGTCAGACATCACTAGTTATCGATATATCGATAGAACTATTGCAATCACTAATCATATACATAACTTTCTATAGAGCGCTATCTATAGTTGAAACCGCTGAATAGCTACAGCAGCGCCACAACGGATCTCTCGGAAACTAGGCAGAAAAGTGACTGTCACATCTATCTTTATTAAATAATCTGTGGTTTCTGTTATGTCAACGTCATATGTCATGTGTTGTTGGCAGTTTTGTCAACACGTATTTCACTATTCTCTAAAGAGTTTAATTTTCCATTGCAATAATTAGTTCACATATAAATTGAAATAGCTAGAAATATTCACATAAAATACAATGGCTACAAGTGACAGTGAGGACTTTGAAAGTGCAGATGAAGGTCATGGGAGTCCAGACAAGAAGGAAAGAAAGAAACGCTTGTCCTCTTCAAATTACAGTGACAACGCATTAGAAACTGAACAAAAAGCTTCGAATACACCAAAAAAATCCAGTAATGTTAAAAATGTTGAGGAAAATGTGGTATGTATATTGTAACAAAGTAGAATATAATACGAAGTATGGACATGAAAATAAAGTCAATAATAAGTCTGATTGAGCCCAACTCTTGCTTAAAATGACCAATCTATTGGACAACTAAGTATTGTTAGTTTTACATCAGGATATTCCATGTTAAAAATATTAAAAGTTAATCTACTTTTTCTCATTCCCATGTTCAATACAAAGATCAATTGTAATTACCATTCGCTTTTCATCACTGTTAAAAACTAACATAGAATTCAAAAGGACAGTTTACAAAACTAAACCTCTATTTAATTTTTGTGTCATAACTTCTGATAATGAAATAGTAAAATATTAGAAAAAGTTATTTAATAATATATGATGGCACAAATCCAATGACATTATCTTATCAGGAATATAAATTGTATTAAATATCCATAAATTATAACAATTATTTTAATGATACAACATCCTTTAATTCAATATATCAAAACTACAATCAAACTGAAATAGTTTCTATTATAAATTGGACAAAATATTTAATTAAGTAATGCTGCTAAAATAACCTTGGGTTGTTAATTTGTTTTGCAAATTTTAGAACAGCTGCTACTTGAGGAATGTTGCCGTATTTTTGCTTAAAACAGATTATCATGCAACCTTCAAGGATGATTTCACATGTTAAATAGATAATTTATAAAGCCTGCTATGTATTTAAATATTTCCTGTGTTGTTTCAGTCAAAACAGAAATGTGGGTTTTCTGTATAAATTACGAGTTGCCTCGCTTATTATATAAAATATGATGACATTATTTAATTGCAAATTTATTAATTTATCATTGTTGAGATAGATAAATATTCTGTCACCTTTATTCTGTGGTTCACCAAGGCCGGCAGAAAGTATAGTGTCACAAGCTTCGATCTTTTCATTGTTAATTTTAAATGTAAGCATACCAGTAAGAGTGATTTGACCTCTCACAATAATTGATTGCACATCAAGGTTCATTGTGGGTGCAAGACTTTTTTAGACAGGTTGGGGTAAGAGGGACACTCCTTCTCACTCCCAACCTGGGGTTGAAGAATCCATTTAACAATATTACTTCATATAGTTTCTTTATATTTTACTAAAAACAATTAATTTTCCAGCTAAATATCTATAGAATAAAAATAAAATGTCCTGAGTAATTATGTTTACTATGAGGAGGTATACTTCGGCATTTAACGCCAAGCTAAAGGTATTCACAACAACAACCTATTTACATTAAAAAAATAACATTCCAGAAAGAAACTGATGGTTGGGATGATTTTGACATAGATGACACTGAACCGGTACCCGCACCTGCTAAGAGCAATGTACAGAAACAGAATAAAACGGTTGAAGATAAACCTAGTACTGATAAAGAAATTAAAAAGTCCCAGGATACCGGCTGGGATGACTTCGATGACTGGGGCGAAGATGACACAGCTAATACTGCAGAAAAGGTATTTATTTTTTAAGTATCCTTTTTACTTATTACGTCATCAGACAAGCAAGCCAATTAAATGGCGTTAAGCAATCAGCGCCGCCCATGAACAACGGAGGCCCAATCCTTCCCCTCCCCCAATTCCTCCTAAATCCCTAAATCTCCTAATCCCTAATCCCTAAAAGGTCGGCAACGCATTCGTAACTCCTCCGTTGCGAGTGTCCATGGGCGGCGCTGATTGCTTACCATCAGGTAATCCGTCTGCTCGTTTGCCGACCTATTAAATAAAAAAAAACTATGGAGAAGTTACCAACTTATTGGGGATAAGGTTGTGAAGGCTTAGGGATTGGGGGAAATGTGTTTCACGCCGGTTTTCCGAGACGCCATCCTAGCACTCCGGTCGAACCGACTCATTCGAGGCTTGTCTCTCCCACACTTAAAAATTTACATTGATAGGTTATTTGGATTGAATTAAAAGAGCAAAATGAGCCATTGTATTTTGGTTTTTGCTGAAAAAGCTATAACAGTAATTTTCCTATTCACAGCCAGAATCAAAACCAATTCAGTCTAAACCTCAGCCAGCTCAAAGTCAGAAACCGGAGCCTAACATCCAGGAGGTTACAGACAGATTGGCTGCAGCTTCTACTGGTGGCAGTGGGTGGGGATGGGGCTGGAGTGTGGACTCCTTGCTGAGCAGCGCTACTGCTGGTATCAGTACCATTACCAGTCAAGTTTCACAGGTAATATTCTTTTTTTATGATATATATTATTTCATAGTTTAAAAGTTCTAGAGGTTTTACTCAAGAAGTGGTCTGTACTCTACTTTAGGAATAACTAAACGCACGTTGTTCTAGGTCATGGTGTGATGTGTATGTTTGTAAAACCCACCCACGACACAAGAGAAAATGCTAACCAACATTTTTATATAAAAAATACTACTTTATTTATTTTCTTCTACAAATTGTTTTTTCTTCTTGTTTCCCCAGTTTCAGACTCCATAGTCCAGAATTTTATTTAACACAACAAAATATTTAAAAAACAAATACCTATCACTCTTGTGAACTTTAATAAATGTGAACTAATAACAAAAACATACATTTTTGCCATTGCCACTACTTCCAGGGTATATCAACTGTCCTAGAAACAGGCATAGGTGCTCCTGATCCAGAAGAATTAGCCAGAAGATCAGTAAAGACTAATGAGACCAAGACAGATAGGCCTGAGCCAGCATCTGAAGCGGACAAGAGATCTGAAGAGGGAAGTGCACAGGAAGCAAGTCCTGGAGATGCTGCATTCCCATTTGGAAGTCTGATATCTGGTGTTACCAAGTTTGTCGAGACTACTGGTAAGAAAATAAGATTTTTTAATTGTTTTATCAATAGCCAATATGTCAGTTAGATTACAAGTTAAGCCACTCAAGAAGAGAGCAGAGTGAGAGCAGGTGAAGGAACAGGGGGCTTTTAGTCAGTAAGAGTCTGACATTCTATCTCTCGCCTTACCCTGGGCGGGAGAAGTCATTGGATAATTTTCGCCTGACAAAAAAAGCCACTTAAGAAACCAAATAAAAAGAAAGAAATTGATTTGAACTGTCGTCAAAATTTCGTAGTGTTTCCTGAAAAATAAACTTTAGGGTAGCTTGAAGGGCTTAATCTAAATCTTCGATCGAAAAGAATTTATTTCTACTTACAAAAGCATAAAAGTACTTAAAAATACTTCTACATCCAATAATTAATTTTACGATATGTTTATTCGTGTTTTTTATAAGAAATCAAGAAAAATTGTTATGCAATTCGACACAGGTATATGTCGTCATAAAATTCTATTTCACACTAAATTCATACATAAAAGATAACGTTTTTGACATTTCGGCAAAAGTTTTATGAGAATTGAATGTGACTAGATGTAATTGCCCTAGTATTTCTTAAACAATGCATTCCAAATACCATAGTTTTTTTTAAGGGATTGGTCAGCAAACTCTCAATACCTGGCAATCGACGCCACTCATGGACACCCGCAATACCAAAGATTCGTGCCAAAGATTGGCTCTCCCACACTTAATTCAATATATTTTTATTCTAGGTACAAAAGTAATACACGGCGGTCTAGATACCTTAGAAACTATTGGCAAGAAGACAATGGAAGTTCTGCAAGATGGTGACCCTGGCCTGGCCAAGAAACGGGCCATGCTTGGATTGGGAACTGGTGATAAGCCAGTTCTCTCTCAAGTGCTTAGGGAGGCTAAAGCCAAGGCTGAGGAGGAAGATAAAGTGAGAGAAGAAAAGAGGGAGGCTAAGGAAGTGCATTATGAGAACCTCTTTGATGATTTTGAAGGTATTGTTATAAGTTCATATTTCTTTCGAGAAAAGACTTTTTCTAGGTTCGATGAATTCTCATTTTACCCTGCTTTACCTATTAATTATTACAATGCTTTTGGAATACCCTCAGTTTAAGATTATTAAGTAGTCTGCTCGCTCCCAATATCTCATAGATCGACTTAATTCAACCAACAAGACTTCTTGCTTAATGTTTGCACTTTTAACGTTAACAAGACCGTCCGTTTTTATACTATCTACCACTATCATCGTAGACATCAAAGAAACATATAAATAACAAATAAATTATTCCAAAAAAAGATGTCACAGACCTAAACAGCCAGATCAATGCTGTGGCGTGGCTCAGGCCAAAAGAAATCATTAATTTCTTGTTTTTATTAAGCTACTAGCTTCCGCCCGCAGCTCTGTACGTGAATAAAAGTAATGTACCCCGGGATTTCAGAAACAGCAGCATTTAAAGCAATCTCTTGGCTAGCTTATAGCACTCAGAAACATTGTAACTATCAGTGAATTAAAATAATTTCGAATCCGACCAGCAGTTCCAAAGATTACCCCCCTACATAAAAACTTGCCTCTTTATAATATTATTATAGAAGTATTTAATTTATCAACGTTATTATTTATACAATTCCAGGACTAGTACACCTAGAAGCGCTGGAGATGTTGTCTAGACAGGTCAGTATGCGCATAGAGGAACGGATACGCAGTGTCGATGTGGACAAGAGACAGGACATCAAGGAAACACTGCAGCAAGTTGCTGGTAAGAAAACCTAACTACCTAATTGTTGTTAGAGTTTTTGTATCTATAAACCTAGGTATAAAAAAGGTAATTCCATGAAGATTCATTCGCTGCTTCGCTCTTGTTGGACGTAGCATTATATTTAATAGCCTGAACTCTTCCTTCATAAAATAATCATTAAATTATGTTTTACGGCTTTCTCAATTAACTGACGAGATACCTCGACAAGTTTCACGCCACGCTGGGGCTCATATTCATGACTAGTGTTACGCAACAAACGAAATGGCGGAGACGTCACGAATCTAATAATTAATTTGTCTCGCAGAAGCTATAATACAATTATTTTTTCAATTCGTATCGGTGGTTCTAGAGATGAACGCATCCAAGTAAACTAACAAACTCTTCTTTTTTCATCCAGAACTATGTGAAATGCCCGAAGAAGATGATGATGATGACGAGGAATCTCCAAGCGAAGATCTGTCCAAGCCGGACGCCTTCCACGAAAGGCTGCAGACTGCTACACAGGATCTAGGGCTGAAACTCCAATTCCAGGCTTTGGTCAAGTAAGTTATTAAGAGAAAGCACTAGAACTGCCCGGCTACTATCTAGAAACATTAAAAAAAATCAATTTTATCAACAAACATACTCATAGTAGGTAATGTAAATATTAAGAACTTGTTTTGTATATTCTTATGATATTATTCTGCATTCTTCTATACTGTAAGTTAATATGAAATGTTGGCTCGACTACAATGATTTGTTGTCTATTTCAATTTCTTTCCGTTTTATTTCTCTCAGATAATTAGTCCCTAAAAGTTCGGCAATACATTCGTCTTAATCTGTCAGGTGTAGATGACCGGTGCCGATTGTTTGCCTTCAATTAAGCACCATATAAAAGAGTCAATGTATTTAATACAAAAATATAGTAGAATCGACAACAACAAAAAATATTAAAACATCTCTCTCATAACTCTGTCTCTTTAAATGTTAAAAAAGGTTAATCTATTTTTAAATCAGCGCCGTGATCTCAATCCTTTTTGTCCAGATCACAGTATTGTGCTGGACCTTATGGCTTGAGACATCCTTTCTTGTAATATTTTTTCTATAATCTGTATGTTTCTTGTCTTGTGTAAAGTTAAAGAAACTTCGAGAGACCTTCGATGAATAATGCATATTGATATCATATATGTGCGTGTGGATTGAGAGATCTTTTCGATTATAAGAACATTTAGAAAATAATAATTATAAAAACTTCATTGTAAGGTAAAATTAGTGAAACCTAACAAAGAAAATTAGAACTTACTAACTGGATCTCTGAATCTGAACATCTGAAGAGAAAGCCATAATGTGTATCCAAGAATATACTGCCTATCAAACTAATATTATAGGTACATCCGCAAGGAACTCTGTCTGTCTGTCTTTTCTTCACGCCTAAACTACTGAACCGATTTCTGTGAAATTTGGTACAGACATAATTTGGAACTCGAGAAAGGACATAGGATAGTTTTTATACCAAAAATCTGCAGGAAGTCACTATTCCACGCTAAGAGAGTCGCGGGCAAAAGCTGTTATAAAAAAATCTAGATTTTTTTAAATAATATATTATCTTCTATCTTTATTTCAAATTAATTTATTTCCTATTATTCTTTCTATTTATACAAATCTGTGTGGGAGAGCCATGCTTCGGCACGAATGGGTCGGCTCGACCGGAGTGATACCACGGCCTCACAGAAAACCGGCGTAAAACAACCACAGCGTTGTGTTTTGCCGTGTGAGTAAGTTACCGTAGGCCCAATCCTTCCCCTCGCCCGATACCTCCCCAATCCCTTAATCTCCAAAACACCACAATTCCTAAGAGGTTGACAACGCACTCGTAACTCCTCCGTTGCGGGTGTCCATGGGCGGCGCTGATTGCTTACCATCAGGTAATCCGCATGCTCGTTTGCCGGTCTATAACATAAAAATAATCTTTATACCTCTCTTATTTCCAGTCAATACACAGACGTCCTAACGTACCTATCGTCACCGGATTCAGAATCAGTGAAGGCAGTATACAAGAGAGCGGTGTCCAGTCTAGCCCAGGGTACTGCTTTGGCAGTGGAACAGTACCACAAAGCTGCGGAGATGCTTCTCGTCAAGACTCGAAGGTCCACCGCTGATGAGGCCGATGCGTTGACACAGTAAGTTACAATGTTTATATTTATTTATTTGAATAGTAAGCTACAAAACTAATTACTAAATTCTTAGATAATATATTTAATATATTTAGATAATACAATTTATTTAATTCATATTTCTCCATAATATTGTTAGTAATACAAGTTCTAGTCAAGTAATTTATGATTATAAGAAAGAATCAATAATTTTAATGTCCCTCTTATGCCCGACCATAAACCAATCATCTTTCTCGCCCAATCTCCAATCTAATTTAAATTTTCTTCATTCCAGAATGACAGTGGTGTTAACAAAACACATCAGTGAGCTGGCAACACTATTCACTGAGAAACTAAACGCATTGCCATCTGACAATAAGGAACAAGTTAACACATACATCACTAATATCTTCCTAGAGGTAACATTTTTTGTTTTTTGGTCGTAGTTTTGTAATATCGACTTTATTTTCTAAGCAATAGGACGCTCCAACGTCGCAACTTTGCGGTAGCCGAAGGTTAGGGCATGTTGGTTCGAAACCTGCCAATGTAACTTTTTCCGAGTTATTTGTACTTTCCATGATTATTTTGACACCATTGACATACGGTGAAGGAAAACATCGTGACGAAATCGCCAATCCGCCTTGTGCAAGCATGGTGATCAAGCCATTACTTTCTACGTGTGAGATGAGGCATTTGCTCAGCAGTGGGCACTTATAGGCTGACGATGAAGGTGCTTTTGTGTACTATATAGACTCTTTATAGGGTTTCTGTCTCAAACAGAGATCGATCAAGAGACTGAATGAAGATATAAAGATAATTTCGACCATAAATAAACTTAGTAGGTGTGAAGATCAGCATACTTGTATGACTACATACATAATAATAATATAATCCGCAAGGCAGCTTGTGGCGAGCTGTTGGGCAGTGGCGACCCCACGGACCTGACTCCCGGGAGGTCTTGTTCTTCTCTCTCCGGTTAGTCCTCGTGACGAGCTGGAGTGAACACTGATGAAGAACAAGCCCTCCTACCTCATTCTTGCCTTAATTGGCTGGCTTGAGTGGAGATTCGCAAGAGTAGGAGTTGAAGGAGACTCGGGGGAAGGATGTATCTCAGTAAGGTGCTGGTAGGGGTCTTGACCGTACTTCCGGGATTGCTCTGATAGCCGTGGGATGCCTCTCCTTCCCCAAGCAGCTCAACGTATGTTGCCTCCGTGTCGCTACATGCTAGCGGCCGTTTCCGGGGGCCCATTAATTGAGTTTGCCAGTCACCCCCTGCCTGTTTATCCGTATGTATCAATATTGGTCAGGGGCAGGGGCCATAGTATTTCCATAGTTATCATATCCACCAGTCCATAGCAACCCATACCCATAACCCTTTCGTTTATTACCACAATTCGCAATAGTCTTGCATCAACCGGGGATTATCCTTGGGTGCACTTTCATAGTGCAAACAGGGATAATTGCCGGCTGATGTCCCATCACAGTTAGATTAAAACTGTTCAAAGGGCCTCTGCGAGTTGGCTTCGGCCCCTCGTACGCCTTCCAAAGGTCCGGGATCCTATGATCCCGTGAACGGAAACGAACATACAAATAATAATATCAAGGACAATTTACTTTTATTAATCCCCTTTGAGTATTATAGTATGAAATATCGACCAAGCTACATTATTTATACGAGAAGAATTAATTTGTATTCAACAAACTTATTTGTGGTGTTGCTAGTTTTAAAACTGTATTTTATTATCTTCCAGGCTGGCAACAGTTCGACTTACATCCAAAACGCGTTCCAGTTGGCGTTACCTATACTACAGATAGGTGCTGTGTAGATTAAAACAATTTTTGTATAATTAGACACTGATCAAAAATTTTACCTATTTGTTAGTAGAATGTAGGCAACGTTAAGACAACGTGTTATAAAAAAGAAACTAGTTATTCCATTCCACCATGACTTCGTGCGGGCACAAAATTGCTATAAGTAAGTCTTGGAAACTCCACAAATACAATTAAATAGTTGTAGATAGAGATATGGCAGTTTATGGTTGCCGGAGGAGATGAGAGGAGAGACCTTTAAGGCTTAGGCCTTATATGCATATCCTTACCTATTCAAGGTTGCTTCTGATTAAGCTGCATCATTGCTTACATCCAGGCGAAATAGTGACTGAACGCCTTACCATAAAAAACTAGATTACAAGTAATAAAGTGGAACCAATATTAATTAAAATAGTCTAGAAATCATTACATTTGTCAAAGTCAAAGTCAAAATCATTTATTCCAACTAAAGCCTAAATAGGTACTTTTGAAACGTCAAAATAGAATAGTAGTCTGTCAGTCTGTTCGTCAGTAAAGCTAGGTGTTTGTTCAACAACTTCCAGAAAATAACTCTAAAAATAATTGGCGTCTTTTGGTTCTAAGTAGAATATTTTTGATCAGTGTTGTATACATACTTGTGATATTGTAAAATGTTGTTATAAATATGTGTGGTTCAAAGTTTATTCCTAAATGTTTGAGAGTTTAAAGTGGTTCGATTTATCGATTTATAAGCTATTGTTAACTGCATAACTTCTTTGTTTAACCAGCTGTAGAAACGGCGTGGAGTTGTAATATTGCATACAAGACAATCTTATACATATTTTATAATACTTGCGCAAAAATTTTTATGTTGCGCAAAATTGCGCTAAACTTTGCGCAAATATACATTTATTTTAAATTGTGCAATTATGCTTTTCAAATGTACAAATATCGCTCTTTTCTTTTATCTTTATTAATTACAATAAGTAATATAATATTCCTTCAGCAATCAGTTAAAAATGAAAAATACTTTCTTTGTGTCTTTGTGTCCCAGATATCGAAACTATGTTTTATTACTAGTTATTATACTCAACATATCTTTCCCATTAACAGCTATGCAGCTAACAATTTTGTTATAACAATATTAATAATATCAAATTGTTCAAATCTTGGGTCTAAAAAAAATGAAATGTTCGTATAAATACTTATACCTATCACTAAAAATAAATACTTACCTAATAATATATTTGTTATTAAATGAGGAATTTTCTCGAAAATCTTAATTACAATAAAGTTTTATTATATAATATAACTTACGATATGTATGTGAATATGCCTAATATATAATGCATTTAATAGAAAATTGTTTTATTAAGATGTTGTTGTTTTATTTTCACCTATTGTCGTCAAGATTTTTGAGGTTGGCATAGTGTTGCTTATATTAAAGATTATCCTCCGAGTTTTATTTATTCGGTACGACTGTGTTCTCATAGTGGACACAGGGTATCTCAGAATGGCTACATACGGAATCTCAGAATGGCTTCATAGGGAATCTCAGAATGACCACAGAGTCATAGACTATACAATATATATTACTCAGAGTAGCCACATATGGGATCTCAGAGGGGCCACGCCGGCCATTTCAAAGTGGTCACATAGGACATCTATCAGAGGCCACCCTTCTAAAATATGAACTGGACTTAGTGTAATATACAGTATTTTATCGTGTTGGATCTCCTCTTCTTCCGTCCGTGGTCATTTAGTTCCTGTGGACTGAAAAACAGGTTTTTTTGCCTATAAAGATAATAATTACTCCTCTACTAGGTAACATGACCCTGTATTAGTTCAATTGAGATAACGAAAGATCTGCCAAAAACACCGTTACAGATTCATAATATAAATGTTTATGATTTTATATTACAAAAATAATGTTATAAAATAAAAACCAAACAAAATTCAACATAGTTTTCTGCACACTTTAGATTCATAATCCCTAAACCAAAGTGAAGAATCAGTCAATAATAATAATTATGGCGATGGCGGATTATGGCGAATGTCGGCCATTGTGTCGACACCTGTTGCGCTTGCGCTTGTAACGGACGATAGCATAATATAGACATACCTTTTGATAGTTACTACGAATGAAAGCTGCGCACGCCCAGCTATAGAAAATATACTGTCAAAAATCGTCCTGATTACAAAGCATATGAAGAAAAATAATACCTATTAAATTAGGTATTTTTAAATTTATATTAGGTAGGTACACTAGTGACCTAACCTACCTCAGTTTTGAACGGGTGAATGCTGATACTAAGTCTCCCCACTACGTTATTTCAGGAATGTTAATAGGTATAACTGGCTGGTACCTAAACCTTCATCTACTATCTCTATATCTGTGATACATGCTATGCTATAACTATTTAGTTTTTTTTCCCCTCAAATAATATCTTCTGATTTATTTCGTGAATTCACGCGCCGGACTTCCATGTTCCGGTGTTTTCATGGTTGTGTCTACTGAATGTGGCGGGCTTGTCCTAAAAAAAAATACATGCTATGCAGAGAAGTTCAGTAAATAGGTAGTTTCATCTCTTAAAATGTATATTTTAATGCCACTTTGACTAATAAATCACCAGCTTCATTCTCTCCAGTAAACACCCGTATACTAATATTAGAAATGCGAAAGTAAGTCTGTCTGTCTGTCTTTTCTTCACGCCTAATCTACTGAACCGATTTCTGTGTAATTTGGTACCTACAAACAGGACATAGTTTTTATTTTATACCAAAAATCTGCAGTAGGTAAGTCACTATTCTACGCGAACAAAGTCGTGGGCAAAAGCTAGTTGAGAAAAAAATAATGGAAGTCATATCCACTTTACATCTACCCACAACAAAAGCGCACCGCACAATAAGCGGACTCGGTTGAGAACACATCTGTTCCTATACCTACAAAAGATGCAAGGGTTACTCCAGGGTTTCGCTAAACGTTAGAACCGTGTCATGTGCATGATTGATTCAATAATTCAATCCTTGGACACGTTTCTATTCCATCTCTGTCCATCTGGACAACAATGGCAGCATTTGTAAAGACTTTTTAAAATTATTTTATTTTAGAAATTTCACCTTTTAAGTTTTCTACTATCTGGTATTACTGCATAGTACCTATGCTGGTTAGGCTAGAAAATATAATATTTTACATATTAAACGTTATAAAAAAAAGTAGATGATGACCGCTTTTCCTATTCGTCTCCTCTCAGTACAATTACCTACATTATGGAAGTACCGGCACCAATTTCTGAAACCTATTAGTTTAAAATTGTGACTGATTCTGACCCTACGTAAAAACAAGTTCACGTGCGCCCCATTGCCATTAATAAAAATCTAAATATTTCATAGTTAATCATATTGAAAATAACTTGCACACACTTAAACCGAATTCAATAAAAATAACCCATAAACTTATGTAGGCAAAGTTCATTTTTCACATTGCAAATTGCACCAGTCACTAGCTTATAATTTCACACATCAATGATTACGTAATGACAATGCTGACACATGTTTTAATGTGTGTTTTGTAAATTGATACAGACCTTTGTTTGTTTTGGGTTCATTGCTAATTATAATTATTGTAGGCACGTATGCTATAGGTAGGTAACTAGGTACCTACCAAAGTCGCTTTTTCTGTCCATAGATACCTATGAATGCTTCTATCTTTAAAACTAAGCAACGGATTTTGATGAGGTTTTTTTAATATATGTAGTAGGTATTTATAGAAAGAGGTTTTTACAGTCGAGACTTTTTTTATTACATTTTGTATTAATGCACCCATGCGAAGTCAGAGCGGGTCGCTAATAACTATATTTTTACATGGTTTGTTTATCCAGGGCTATATTTATTAACTAACTAACTTCCACCAGCGGCTTCTTCCGCGTACTTACTTACTTACCATAGATAAATCAACAGACTAACCATCTGATTCAAAAGGCTTATGTTGACAAAATGTTTAGGTTTCTTTTTCTATGATATGGAAGCAAACGAATAGGTTAATTGCCTGATGGTAAGCGATCGACGCTGACCCCCATGGACACCAGCAAGACCAAAGTAGTTGCAAGTGCGTTGCCGATCTTTTGACACATGGTTTTGGGAATAAAGGGATTATAGTGGGAGAGCGGAGGAGACGAATTTGGCATCCGCTAACCTCACTCACACGCCGCACAAACACATAAGTGATGTAGAGTTTTATATTATTTGATTAGAATATACAAACATCAATTTAAAAAACAAACAGTGCTACTAAAGTCTAACTTCACACATAAATTATAATTATTTTTAGCACCGTCACTGTATTGTTTCTGTTTCGCGCCATATTTGGCAACTTACCGTGCAGGAAGCTTTGGGTCGTGCATTGTAATTAGCCAGATCCGCTTCACGTGGTATCGAAAACCTACTTGGTAATAATAGTGATAGCAGATTGGTACAATGGCGATAACAAATAGGCTGCTTTTTAGCAACTACTACTAGTAACTTTATAATACTATTACGATTTAAAAAACTTCTCTTACTTCCCTGCTCGTAACTACATTATTACTACATTATTTATAAGTATAATACGCATACTTTAATAATACACATACATAGCATTACTACCTTATTTATAAACTAAATGTTTGTGTACTTTCTTAAATAATGACGATTAGCTGTTTTGAAAATCGAAGGCTTCGGTAGCTTGAACCGTACGACTACGACTCCTGATTTACAAAAAAAACCAATTTCTTTGCAATAACTTAAATACAAAATTAAAGGAACCTATTAAAACTAACTTACAAGCGCTTCTTGAAAATTGCACGTCACATTCATATTGTTACTTACACAATAATTTTATTTAATACCAGCATACTATTAGGTAGGTACTTGAAAAACAACATTTCACCAAAAGTCCGTTACATTTAAAAACAGATAAATATTCCCCAGCCACTCAATGCAGCACCTTAGCCCAAGGTGTTCACGAACATCTGTGAATAATCCGTTAAATTTTGAAGAGCCCGCATATCTAAGACCCATTTCAACAAATAAATCATGGAATCATTGAAA